TTTCTAAACTGTAATTTTCCACTACTGTAGCATTTGGTTACTGGGTTCAGGCATAGCGGAATTTTCCTCCATGACCTAGTTACTGCCACCAGAATGATTGACAGCAAAACTATGCCATATGTATCGAACCCATGGAATTTTCCTCTGTGCTATGTCATTTCTCCTCTGGGCTATACCAATTCTCCTCTGTGCTATAGGCATCTAATTAATGGGTTCTGACACCCAGCTCATCCAGCCCTCCTAACAGGAGAGGAGCATGTGTCTGACTTCTTGGGTAGGCTGCAAGAAACTAGTGTGATTTAGCTCTAGATCCAATAAAGTACAATACCATTTAGGTGCCTGTCCCCAAAGGCGAATCCAGAACCTGAGTTAGGCACCTGGGCTCTAAAAAACCTGAATGCTGAGCAGGGAGCTATCTAGAGCTAGCTAGTAGGAAACACTGAGCACAGAGGTATGGCTTCTTTCTGGAATGTCCATGGCTCAGGGCTATAAGCAGGTGACTGTCCAGTAGAGCTCCAGAATCCTTTTCAAAGGTAGGAGCCTACATCTGGTTTTGAAAAAGAACACTTTTACATATGGCCAGAGTACATGAGAAGTAAGGAAGTGGCTCCTACCCACCTTCTAGGTAATAGCTAAATGCTTATAGCACATGTCCAAGAATTGGAAGACTAGCTGGGAGAAAAAACAGGAGAAAAAAGACTGTATCCTAGGGTAGGGGTTTTCAACCAGGAGTACCCCGGGGGTACTTGGAAAGGGACTAGCGGGTATTTGTGGATAGGTGGGGATGGAGCGCTGCCACCCACTACCCTACACCGCCGCCTCCTAGAAGCGGGGCCGGGGGTGGAGCGAGGACAGCAGCTCCCCTCTGCAGGCCACACAGGCTCTGCCTGGCCGGCTGGATGTGGGAGAGGGGGGAACTTGCACGTGGCCGTGGCCATCCACCACCTGGCACCACTACTGAATGCAAGCCTCCCTGCTCTGCATCCAGCTGCCGCCACCCGCCCCCCACTCTGCCAGAAGTGTTCCGGGAAGGGGTAGACTCCTTGAAAAAGGTTGAAAACCCCTGTCCTAGGGATTAGGGGGCACATCTACTTCAACTCTGTAAGACCACGATATTCATCGATTTCTTGGCAGGGATGTGGCATTTTCTTCCACGTTCCCTTTCTTACAAAAAGGTTGCTTTTTAACTTTGCATTTCACTCTCCTGCAGGCAGCATGAACATGCTTTATTGTAATGAGAAAGGAGGAGTGAGAAGGAGAGCAAGGTGATGGCAAATATCACACAAGGCTCCCCTACAGATTACAAAAAAGAAGAAAGATTTAAAAGGCAGTCGGCTCCCAGGAGTTGAGCTGGTGGAAGACAACCCTCCCACTTGGTGAACGCACCAAATGAACCTCTCTCTATAGGTATAAGTAGGATGAATTCTTAGTAAACAGAGATGGGCTCTCCATCCACAGATCTCAAAGCCTCTGCTCAGGCGCTTTTATTCCCTTGTTCCAGTGATGGAAGTGAGGTGCAGGGAATGCCCGCAGCAGGGCTGTACTGAAGTCAGTTTCCCAAGTAACAGAGGATCTGGATGCTCGAGCTGCGGCAGAGAGAAACTTTTGTTCCCAGAAAAAAAACTTATTCCCCAGAATTTTTTTTTTTTTGGAGTGGGGGGTAGGGGGGAGTGGAGGGAGTACTGTTTTCTTTGAGTGCCTATTTTTTTTTGCCTTGAAATATGAATTTTCATTCCTACCTGGGAGAGCTTTTACAATCTTTGCCATCCCCTATGGCCAACAAAGGGTACCTGTGCCTGAAAGCTTGCAAGTAAAACCTTTTTTTTTTTTTTTTTGCAACTATCTAGTTGATCTAATAAAAGACATCACCTCTGGCACCAGCGTTGATTCCTTTTTTTTTTTTGTTTTTCTCCTTGAAGCGTTTGGTATCTTGTCAGTACGACCAACGCGTGCCGGCCTGAAACAAGCGTGTTTAAAACAAATGGAGCTGCAAATGGATCACTTTTAACGAAAAAGAACCCCCCCCTCCCCCCGGTGGGATTTACTCCCCCCCAAAAAGGGAAAGCATCTCGGCGGCCGGCGGGCGGGCGGAGGAGGGAGCAGCTGCGCGCAGCGGGGCGCGCCTCGCTACTTGGTAAAGCGCGCGGCTTCAGAGAAGAGCGGCCCCTGGGCTCGCTACTTCCTCCTGCCGATAAGATCTTCGCCTCTGCTCGTCACGGGCGTCTCTCGCCGCGTGCGGCCGCCCA